TAAATAGGTTTTCTGTTATTAACTCTGCTTCCTGTGTTGTTTGCCTGGGCCCAAAGGGAGAGAGGGAGGTGAAATTGCGGTGTTATCTACATCCAACGATTTATCTCACCTAGCACAGGTTCTAATGTTGTGTTGCAATCATCTGCATAATCTGTTATGTTTTCATAATCTGTGGTTAGCTTTAAACCCATGAATACCTCTAGTTTTGTAAGCTTTTTGAAAACGTATCAGAAGCTGTTATGGTTTTCCTCACCCTCAAAGAAAGCTGTGTCAGAAACCAAAGTGTGTCTCAAGTTAGTGAATTGATGTATGCCAATTTGGGGCTGCAAAAATCAGAAAAATGCCTCCCTCCAGGGCTCGTAAAATACTGTGAAAGTATTGCACAATTGCTGATCTCCCTCCCCCCCCGCCCCACTTTCCTGTGTTCAGCCTTTTGTAAGGCGATATCTGCTTATGTGAATGTGTATATAAATATGTGTTTCCTGAAATATGAGGTATACTTGTTTAGAGAAATAACCAATACACAGAAAACCCCAAATAATGCTGAAATAATAGCAAAATACAGCCCTCTCCAAATAACGAGAAAATGTAAAGAAATAGTTAACAAGTACTTAGTATTAACGAAGAATTATTAGATGAATTGCACTGTTGGATGACCTGAAGGACAAAGTTAGGGACAGATCATCGTAGAGATAATCTATTTGTATGCTAGCTAGGAGTTGAAAACTAGTTGATATCAATTAGTGGAATTATTAATATTTAATTATCAACACTCTGGTTATGTTCATGAGCATAGATGACTGCAAATCTCCCATACATTAGAAAGTAGTTTCAAAGCTGCTGTTAGTTTAAGAAAGTGTTTCTGTTTAAATACCCTGAAGTTTGTAATCTATTGTTAAACCAGAACTGCAAAACTACTTCTGTATATACAATTATACCTATATGTTGCTGTATCTATTGCCACCTAGTGGGTAAACCATTTCTTTTTCTTTTCCCAAAGGTGCTTTTTCAAAAGGCAATTGGACTGTATTTTTTCTTGAAGACGTTTTGCTTCTCATCCAAGAAGCTTCTTCAGTTCTGATTGAAGCTTCTTCAGGTCAGAACTGAAGAAGCTTCCCGAGTGAGAAGTGAAATGTCTTCAAGAAAAAAACAAAGTCCAGTTGCCTTTTGAAAAAGCACCTTTGGGACAACCAAGACCTGGATGAGTCTCCATAGACATTCTTTTTTTTTTTCTGTTCAATTGTGTCTGATATTCAGACACCGCCTGGACAAGTCCCTGCAGTTCTCTCGGCAAGGTTTTTTTCCCATAATGTTTTGCCATTGCCTCCTTCCTAGGGCTGAGAGTGAGTGACTGGCCCAAGATCCCCCAGCTAGTTTCATGCCTAATGTTAGGAGTAGAACTCACCATCTCCCAGTTTCTAGCGTGATGCCTTAAACCTTTACACCAAACTGGCTCTCCATTTTTAAATTTATTTTTAATCCCCTTTTTTCATGTACAACTCAACTTGGTGAACATAGCTAATATGCCTTCCTCCGCTTATTTTCCCCACAACAACCCTGTGAGGTGAGTTGGGATGAGGGACTGACCCAAAGTCACCAAGTCTGTTTTCTTGCCTAAGGTCTCCCAGTAGCCTAGTTTCTTTAAACAAACTGAGAATATTGGGTATGTATAGAGAGTTCTCAATCCTTGTTTGCTATTCCCTAGATTTTCTATATTGACTGAACTTTTTTTAAAAAAATGTTTCAATAAGAGGTAAACAAATTGGAAGCTAACATGTTTCAAAGCAAATATAATTTACTGCTTTGCAAGAATAGATCTGAGTCTCCTAAAAACCTCACTAAGATAGTAGAAATATCAGGAGGGTGGAGGGGGAATTAATTTCCAGGTAAAATATGCTGTTTCGGTGGATATGCCCTCCATGAGGGAAAACGGCCATTTTTGTAAATAGAAAAAGAAATCTATTTTGACACCTTTGTGAGGGCATCCCCGCTAACACATTTATTTGTTTATTTAATTTATTTAATTATTTATTAAATATTTATGCTGCCTATTTCCTCTATAAGATGACTCTGCGGGGCTTACAAATTACACAAGTAGAAAAATAATTAAAATATAAAAACATTAAAGATTAGGATTTTAAAACTATACTGAAACTAGAACAAAGAGACAGATGGGTGGGAGGTCTTCTTAGCTCATCAGGCACCTCCAGCATTGAGCACCTCTCTTGGGACTCCCTTTTTAGGTATATCCATTTGAGTATAATGTGGGCCTTTCAACCATCCTCTAGTCCAAGGGTCTTCAAACTTGGCAGCTTTAAGACTTGTGGACTTCAACTCCCAGAATTCCTGAGCTAACATGACTGGAGGAGGAATTTTGGGTGTTGAAGTCCACAAGTCTTAAAGCTGTCAAGTTTGAAGACCCCTAAGCTAGTACATTTTCCAAACCTAGGCCACTATGATTTAAATAAACCATACTGAAGTAAATTAAAAGTTTAGCACAATGTGTCAACACTGCAAGATGAGTAACGCACTGGAAAATAAAAATTACGTTCAAGATTCCTGCATTTCCACGCCAATAGTAACCCAATAAAGGAACATTATTATTTATTTTCAGAAGTCACTAAAAAAAAATGCAGTGAAAGTTTTTTTTTTTTTTTTTAAAGAGATGCTCATTCAGACAATTGGAATAAAGCACACTTGGAAAGGTACACAGTCTACGTCCTATTATTGCACTTATCTTTTTACAACAAGGCATTTAAAAATAATCTGAACACAAAGGACATATTTATAAAAATGACAACATTAATATACAACATCGTACTGGAAGTAATGTGTCACGGTTTTAAAAAAACCCACACAGAATTGTGGCCTGTTTCATACAAAAGGGTAAGAGGAAAGTGGTGTTGGCAGGACAAATCAAGATGACGGCTGTAGCCCCCCCTAAAATCAAGATGGCAGCTGAAGCCCCACAAAGCCCCGCCCCCTTTTTACATGAGTTTTGATTGCCTGGTTGCGGAGATCATTTTTGACTCTTTTGACACACACTGCCACACTCCCTGGGTAAGTGGGGGTAGCAAACCTATGTCTGAGTGTGGCTGAGTCCCCTAAATGTTCCAAAGGTAGAAATTAACCTGCTAAGCATCTAGTTTGCTCTCTATAATCAATGTTTACTATCTCCTCAATTGTGGTTTTGAGTTCTCCCAACTTCCATTGTGTTTCTATACAACTTGTTTGCTCAATTAATTCCTACAAGATCCCACTTTCTATGACATGACAAATATATATTCCACACAGCTTCTGCGATACGCTAATTTCAGATCCCACTAATCCAAAATTATTATTATCAAGATGACAGCTCATCAGTAACAGGGACAGATAATTGATGTCTAGAGCAAGGTAAAAAAAACCCAAAAATAAAATTAATCATAACTTTTAAATGATATTCATTTTTTTCACATAATTAACTTTTGTGTCTGGCAAACAGATGGACTTACACAGTCTGAATGCCCTTGTCATGATTCCAAATTAATATTTATAAAATTACAATACATTAAGTTCACTTTTCACGTATACATCAAGCGACTGATGGCAGAGTTGGATGCAAAACATCTTGATTTAAAAGTGTCTATAGCCTAGCAATTCAGGAAGGAAGCACAAGCATGCCCACAGTGCAATGGTAGACAATGTATCAGCCAGTGCTCAGAGTTAAACTTTGCTGCCAGTGCTCTAATTTAATATTATATCAGCACTACAAAGTAGCAGAATTCCTTTGGCCATGTTAGGCTACAGAATTGTGAGGTCTGTAGTTCCTCTGCTTCTGCATGGCACTAGCTTGGGATAACTCAACTCTTTAACAGGAAAAAAAAATGGAAATAGCAAGCTGAGGATGATTTACAGATGGTGATTCAGAATCAGAATTTAAATGTAGCATTTCTGTATAAAGATGCAGGTAGTCCTTGACTTACAACTGGTTGCTTAGCAACTGTTTGAAGTTCTGATGGCATAACCTTGAAGGAGGGGGAGTACTTATGATCTGAGTGCAAAGTTTTGATGGTAGCCCCCCTCTGGTCACATTCAGAACTTCAAGAACTTCAAGAACTTGGCTACCGGGCCAAACGGCCATTTGTGACTGTTTATGACCAACCTGAGGCCCGATGGTTGTGCTTTATGGTGGTTTTTCTGAAAACCAGCATTTACTTCTGGTTTTTGGCAAAACCGGCCAATTGGAAGCCATGGGTTCACTTAATAACCACAGCAGTTACTTTACGACCCTGGCATTTGGTCATGTGACCAATTCATTTTATGACCTCTGTGAAGGAGGCTGAAGTATTTTATGGAAATGGTCTTTTATGCAAACATTAATATGGGAGTGAAAATGGGTGTTTAAGCTCCCTTCAGCCTCAGATTGCAAACTGCCCCAATCCTCTGAGAAAAAGAACTGAATACATTGGTTCTGGGGGGGAAACTAATTTTTCCTTTGCAGAACGCTCCTTTCAATCATTGATTGGTTGCACAGTCCCAAGTTCCACCTTCTGATCCCTGCCTAACCAATAGGGAAGGGACTGATGGTATAATGAGACCTTGCCTTGCCAACCTCATTATAATGGTTTGTGGCCTACTAAATCCATCTTGCAGAAAGTGAATAGGGCTGTGGAATACAATCATGCTAACTGGTTGAAATGGTGATTTTTAATAGAGCTAAGCATGATGGTGAGCTGTCCAAGGTGCTGGAAAACATATGACTTGAAGTAAGGGCAGGGGTCTGCAACCTTAAACACTCAAAAAGCCATTTGGACTTGTTTCCCACAGAAAACACTGGGACCCAATAATTTAACAACCGGTGTGACTGCATGGGCGTGGCCAACTTGACATCACTCACTCCCACCCAGTTACCTCCTGTTCTGGAATATGGAGCGAGTCTCCATCCCCCGCCATCACCTTTCTTAGGCCAGGCAAGGAGTGACAGGGTGGGGAGGGGCCAGCCAGTGGTGGGATCAGCCAACAAGAAGCTGCAGCAGAGGGCCGAAAGAGCCACATGCGGCTCCAGAGCCGCAGGTTACAGACCCCTGAGTTAGGAGCTAACCAGATTAAATACTGTATGTTGTACCAACAGGGGCAGTAAAGTAGATTGCAATCCGTTTGCAATACATCTCCATTAAATGCATTTTTTTTCCTGAAAGCACTTCTTGTAAATGCCCATATGGATTGGGGTCATCTGTAGGGGGTTCCCCAAAAGTCAAAGCCCTGGCTCTATTTAGATACATTCTGATGCACATAAAAATGAGGTTTTGCTTGAATCCCATTGGTTGCAGCTGCCATTTTGACTGTTTTCAGTCCCATCCTGTGAATATGTGGCTTCGAACAAATATACAAAATAAATCCACTCACCACGAGGGTGATATGGCTCGGTGTAGACGATCCATCATAAATATAAATCTCATTTGGTGTTCAAAATCTGGAATTGAGGGTTTGATACTGACATAGGAATTTAAGGCAACAGGAACAAGATATATATTTAATTAATTTCCAGTATTTATCATTTCCTTGAAAACGAATCCCCCCTCCAATTTATTTAAGGATTATCATACCGCTTTGTGCTGATACCTGCCTCTCCCCAACCCCGCATCATCCTGGTTTATTTAAAAACAAGACAAAACAAAACCAGGCCAACCTCCCTTACATTTAACTCTCTGCCTAAAATAATTTCCCCACTAAAATGATTTGTCAGGCATGTGCTTTGACTATGTGAGAAGTATTCAGAAGTAGTGCGTGTGATACTGTGATGAAGCGAGTACATAGAAGTAATTTTTGTTCATTTTGAGATGGTGAACTACATACACATTTTCCACAATCTAGAGGGAACACGTGCAATCACACAGAATCTTTAACAGTCTATTTAAGAAACTGCTACCACAGAGGCACAAAAAAAACCTGCTAAAACCAATACTTTAGAATAGAATTGGAAGTTATGGCCATGTAGAATTGAAATCTGGAAAACATTTTCAAGCCGGGATTTATAATTTGTTTTCTCTTTGTTTTGAAAGCCACAGCAGGTGGCAACACCTGGCAGATCTTCAGAAAGACAAAACAGATCAGACCTGGTGATCTCTTACATGAGGAACAATCTGGAAACACAAGCTGTAGACTAGAATTCAAAGTCAAGGACTAGGAAGTAAAAATGAAGTGGATGACAGCAAATGATTTCATACCATTGCAAGACAAAAAACAATGGATACATGCATGTAGTAATCAGGAATAGAGCACAACTAAAATAATCTTCACTTTCATGACTGAAACTGTCTTAATCAATTGTTCCTTCCATTTCATCTTAAAAGTATTGACTGCAATTTTAGGCAAATCAGGAGTGCATTTCTTTAAAAATGTGATCTTGGATTACTACCTTATTGTAATAACATCTATCTCCCTCGATATTAGGGAGATGCTAGACTCATTTTTCTAAAATTTGTCTAATTTAAATTCTAGAGGCCAATGACTGTGATTTTGAATGATAAACACTGAACATTATATTCCTACTAAACTGTCCTAGAAACACAACATTTGTTTCTAATTATATTTTCTCCCTGTATCTATTCTCCAATGTGCATATAGTGTCACATCCAGATTTGGTGATTTAATGTTGACAATTGAGACATTTCCATTAGCATTCCCCAAGTCCTCAAAAAATTCTTACCTCCACAATAGAAAACACATATTTCCCGCCCCCCCGGTCATTCTCATTTTTTAAAAAGTAAAAGCATGCTGGATCCACAAAAGCAGCCGAAGTCAAAACTGCCTGGTATATCTAGAAAACCCTTGCAGTCATCCATATTGGACAATTTCATCACTCAGTTTGAGTTACAAAATGTAAAAATTTCAGACAGACACATTCAAATCACTCAGACATTTTAAAAGACACTCAGGTTTCCTAATACATAGTACGTTTCCCAATAAATAGTTATCAGTTTACAAAATTTACGGCAAATACTTCTCTTTGAGTGCTAAGAGTTTAAGAAGGACCATGAAAATGAGTTCATGGCTAAACCTGAGGTGTCCTTTGTGGAGGGCCAGTGGCTTCCAGATCAATATATGAAGCTGTCTTTCACCAAATCAGGCCACTGGTCCTTCTAAGTTAAGCATTTGTTGTTCTGATTGGCAACAGCTCTTCCGGATCTTTGGCAAAATCCTTTTCCAGGTCTGCAGGTTCTGATATCCAAGACCGTTGAGTTGGTGATACCCAGAACTGAATCTGAGAGCTCCATTTTCAGTGAGTTACAAATGCTGAGAACAATCACCCCATGTGATGGAAAACAAGATACCAAAACTCTTCGTTGTAATAAGAAGAAACCAAATGCAATCCTTTTTTTTTCCTTTTCTTTTTTTGCCCCCTGTATACTACCGAACTTTCCATAGAACCAATGCAAAATATTTTATTGTGCCATCTTTGGCATTAAAAGCAAAAGAACACAGACACCATTGATTTAATTTATAAAATGCAGGGATTTCCCCCTCCACTATTGCTCTGGATTTATCTAGTTGGTATCAGGCTACGCGGCAGTTACATTCTGCACCCACTCCTTCGTAGCCTTTTTATATCCTATTTTCCCCCACTTCCTGGGTGTACTGAAGAGAGAGCAGACTGTAAACACAAAGCAATGCTCCTGAGTGTCTGTGGCAAAGAATGAGGAAGAATTCAGCAAGAAGGAAGACATTATGGCACCTTCCACGAGGGTGAAAAGAAAGACACCATTTGCAAAACCAGAACACATTAAATCAGTTCCTGGCTTAGGTCAGCTCCAGGGTTTAGGGTAGGAGTCCCCAAACCTGGCAACATGAAGACTTGTTGACTTCAACCACAAAGTTGAAGTCCACAAAGTTGAAGTCCACAAAGTCTTAAAGTTGCCAAGTTTGGAGACCTCTGGTTTAGGGGATTCTCTTGGAGATGCCTCCGTTTTTATGAGCTTCTGCACCTCCTATCCAGACAGCCAGTGCAGGCAGCAGCCACTGTGATATCTTGTGTTCCTGCTATTAAGTTCTGGGTTGGTTTATCTTTTCTCTTTTGAACAAGTCGGTTGCAATTAAAAGAACCAAACTGTGCCCATCTAACGAACTCCAAACGTGGGGTAGCTGCCTGACCATATTGATGCTCGACACCAGTCTTGCAATTGAGGCTTCTCGGCTGATAAAACCATTCTGACCTAGGAGAATAACATCCCAGATGCCAACATTACGGCTCCCGGCAAACAAAACTGGTGAGGTTGTCGCTCAAAAGGGAAGCGGAACGCAGGGGTTGGGATCCGTCATTCTGGCGGCCGATGCTTCCTGATCAGCAGGTGAATGGGCCCCTCTGGGACAGACTTGATGACGTTCCACGCGTCGTAGTGCATGAGTCCAAGCAGGGATTTCCCTCCAATGGCAAGAATTTCATCGCCCGCTTCCAGTTTCCCAGCTTGTTCAGCAGCACCACCTGTTGGCAGAAATATCCAAGTGCAGGTTGAAATATCCAAGTGCAGATGGGTAGAAAACAGAGGGCCGGTGTGTGTGTGTGTGTGTGTGTGGAGGGGGGCATAGCCATGGTGGGCGTGGCTGGGCATGTGCATGGCCATGGTGGGCATGACAAGGGACTCATATGGGGGGCACCTGTGGTAAGGCCGGACTTCCCCCAGACCCCCACTCACTCTCATTATAATCTCCTTCCTTCTTTCTTTCTTTCCTTCTTTCTTTCCTTCGTTCCTTTGTACCTTCCCCTTCTTCTTTTTCCTCCCCTCTTTATTCTCCTTTCTTCTTCCTTCCCTTTCCTTACTTGCTCTCTTCCCATATTCCCTTCTTTTTCTTTGTCTTTCCTCTTTCCCTTTCTCCTTTCCTGTCCCTTCTTGCATGCTCAAATGCAAAAGGGGAAACATTTCTCCTTTTGTTTCGTTTTTAGTTTGTTTTGATAGCCCTCTGCCAGCAAAAACGGAGCTCGGGGTGGGGAGCGTGCACTGCCATCGAGCCCCATTTCGCTGGCAGAGTGTTGCAGGAGGCTGTTGGGGATAAAAATGGGGCACGGGGGACCGCATGAGCCCCCCCCCCCGGCCCCCTTTTTGCTGGCAGAGGCACCCCCCCCCCCCCTTTTGTTTTTTTCCCACTCGGCCCCCGTCGGTCAGATCTACGCCCCCCCGGGGCCGGATCCCCCCCCCCCCCCCGGGCCTTGAGTTTGACACTCCTGGCACAGAGAAAGCAGATTAGGAATTGGCTGGTCTGTTGGGTGAGGTCTAACCAAGCTGGAATTTTGGACAGTACAAATCAGTGGTGGGATTCAAAAGTTCCCACCGCTGGTTCTGTGGGTGTGGCTTGGTGGGCGTGACTGCAGGGGCGTCGCGCAAGTCAGGCGCATGCATTAAACACTAAAAACTAAGCTACTGTGCTTCCCAGCTGTTTAGCACAGCAATCTGCTCTGCCACACCAAACAGCTGACAGGTTACAAAGGACCAAGGAGCAGGGGCAGGCAGGTGGGCCCGACTGTCGAGTGTCAGAGAGACCAGTTCTCTGCCAGCTGATCTTCAGCACTACCGGTACGCCAGAACTGGGCCAAACCGGTAGAATTCCACTAGGACAAACATCAGGGAGTGATTGCGGAGCGCGTCGTTTTGCTAATGCTGACATCAATATTTTGTGCGGGGGAAGATAGGTCTCCTTTTTGATTCTGCAAAAAAGAATCAAATCCTTGCACCGAATCGGAGACATTCAGACTTGCAAAGAGGGCAGTGCGTTTTCGGATTGTCTTTAGCAGAGGAGAAAAAAGCAGGATTTTCCGAAAACTGTCCAAGTTACCTTTAAAAATTCTTTTGATGAGCAAAGGCCTGTCTCCGGATATCGAAGCTTTCCCACCATCCAGGCTGAAACCCAAGCCAGCAGAAGTCTTCAAAAGTTCAACACAAATGGCCCCATTCAGGTCTCCGCTTGAACCTTTGGAGAGAGAGAAAAAAAAATTCAGAAAACTCACTCTAATGATCAAATATAGGTTAACCACCTATGAGAGGTCAAACCACAGACAGCACAGAACAGACCTTGACAAATACACCAGAGATATGTCTGGTTCTCCAAATCTTTGGAAAGTATACATCATATTTTGCAGTCCTTCCTTCCTTATGTTATTTCTATTCTTTGAAATGGAGAGCAGACCATCGGAGATTTCTTTTTTAGCTGTGACAGCAGGACTTCAGCTATGCTGTTGGAATACTTGGACTTGGATTATGCAAACGCCTATAAATCTAAATGTCTCTGGGAATAAAATATTTCGTATTTATTATCTGATTTATAAACCAAAAGCTACTGTCCGATGTCCAACTGCTCTGCGTGAAAATCTAGCAGTTCAATTTCTGCTTTGGCCTGAAATATTTAAGAATCTTCCCATTTTTAAAAGGATTATTTGGATACTAAAGGATTCCAATTGACAGTTGAATGTATTTTCATATTTTCACTTACTCCATCCAAAAATTTATAATTGGTGTATGAATCCTATGGGGGCAGCTCCCCCCACCATTGCTATGATTTCTTGAGAGAGTAGAGGGGTGGGCGAATTCATTTCAAACACCACTTAACCAATGGTGGGATTCAAATTTTTTTACTACCGGTTCTGTGGGCGTGGCTAGCTGGGCGTGGCTAGGTGGACATGGCCATGTGACTGGGTGGGCAGGGCTTTTTGCAGCAACCCCCCCCCCCCATTTGGGGGTCCTTCTGGGCCCCAAGGAAGCCTCCTGGGGGCGTTGTTGCTCTCAGAAGGCTTCCCTGGTGCCCAGGAAGGCAAAAACTGGAGCGCAGTGAGCAGGGGGCCTCCATTTTTTGCCTTCCTGGGTCTCAGGGAAGACAGCGAGGGGAATCCCGGCACAACTGATCGTAGGAACAGCTGATTGTCGGGAGGGTGAAAAAAAAGAAATACCTTAAGGAGTGACTGCGCGGGGCGAGTATCAGGTGGGCGGGGTGAGTGAGCATGGGGCGGGAGGGACAAGTGAGCGAGAAGCGACCGGGCGACCAGGTCAGGGGCATGGCCTGCTAGAAGTTACTACCAATTTGGCAACCCATGCCAAATCCTTGCTTCCAGTTCACTTGAACTGGTGAGAACCAGCTGAATACCACCACTGCAATTAACTCATATTGTACAATACCTGCTTCACTTCCTGTGGCTGCAGCCACCAAAGCTGGCCTATCTGAAGTATGGATTTCATTGCTCCGAGGAGGCATTCTTCCTCTGTCTTTCTCCTTCTTGATGACCACGATGGCATATTTATGGAGCCTGGCCTGATGGAGTGCGTTGAGGACATCCCCGTGGACAGAACCCTCCAAACAAGTGCCGTTGATAGAAAGAATGAGGTCACCACGGTGAATTTTCCCCTCCTGGGAAGCCACGCCTTTGGAAAACACCCGATGGACCTTCAAGGAGACACATTAGGATGAAGATTGTCAATGGGTTAAAGAACTGTTAGCAGATTTAAAAGGTTCTCCTTTAACTAATTGATTCGTGAGTGCCTTTGAGTCAGTTTTGACTCTTGGCAACTTCCTGGACAAGACCTTGCACATTTTTTGGCAAGATTTCAGAAGTGGTTTGCCATTGCCTGCTTCTTAGGGATGAGAGACAGCGATTGGCCCAAAGTCACTCAGCTGGCTTTGTGCCCAAGGTGAAACTAGAACTCAAGTTCTCCTGGTTTCTATAAATCTTCACAAGAACAGAAGTTCAGCAATGGTGCCTTTTGAACTGTTGGAAGAAATGTGAGATAATATGCAATTTAACAGAATCTGGCTCCTATTAAGAACACCAGCTGTAGCATTTCATTTGTCAATTATTATGAAATATAAAACACCAAACCTAGAGCAAAACAAATGTTAAAGAAACAAAGGCATGTTGAATGATCAACTGATTAAAAATGAAGGCCAATAAATCTAGCGAATATGTAAATTGGCAGCCCAATTTATTATGGAAAACTTCTCTGATACTGTTAGTTAGAGACATAGTTTTTGGAAGCTAACCATCCTGTATTTCAGAAGGTTAAGAAAAGGTAAAGGTACAATTTGCCCCTGTCTAGGTGTGCCTGACTCTAGGGTACAGTCCTCATCTCCGTTTCTTCATAAGGGAGCCAGCGTTGTCTCAAGACATTTTCCATGGTCATGTGGCCAGCATGGTTATATGCCAAAGATGCATGGAATGCTGTTATCTTCCCACCAAAGTGGTACCTATTAACCTACTTGCATTTGCATGTTTTTGAACTGCTAAGTGGGCAGGAGCTGGGGCAAGGAACGGGAGCTTACCCTGTTGTGTGGTGTGCTCGGGTCTCAAACCCAGGCTATCAGCTTTTCAGCTGACAAGCTCAGTGTCTTTAACTTCTGAGCCGTTGCACTCCTATGGACTAAATAACTGGAGCTACCTAAGGGCCAATCTAGGCTAGCATTCTGTCCTTAGAGAAGCTTTCAAGCCAGGAAAAATACAGAGAGTAAAGGAATGTGTTCTCTTGCCCAAAGGGTGCCAACGCTAGTGAAATAGACCAACCCACCTGCCCAATTCTCAAATAGCTACACAATGCAGATGAATTTGAATACGTGAGCCAAGTCTCTGTGGAAGCTGATGGAAAGATAATATAGCACTCTGTAGGAATGTCAGCCAAACTCAGAAACAAATGCTTCTAATGTTTAAAACAGATGCTTCTTGTAATATTTTGAGCCAAATTCCCAAGAAAGACACACACTTTTTGGAAGATGATTTTGAGTGGAAAGGGAAAAGGGGGCTGCACTTTGGGTTAACAAGATTCTTTGCTCCACAAAATCGATGCTCTTTGCCTCATTCAAGGGCAGAAATTATGCAGTTTGCCTCCAGGCTGGTTTGAAGATTTCTCCATATACTTTCAGCAAAGGGAAATACCAGAGGAAATCCCAAAATAATAAGCAAAGTAACATGGCAGCTTTACTTTGCTCGCAGCTTCACAAAATTTCATCTGAAGCTTTGCTGAAGCCAAACCAACCCACCCACCCCTTTGACACAGTCCTAGTGTCTGAGTGTCCCAGCAGGTGGCAGCATTTAGCTGACCTTGGCTGACTTTGAGAAGCTAAGCGGGGTTAGACTTGTTTAGTATTTGGATGGGAGGCGCCTGGAAGTCCCAGGGCTGACGAGGAAGTTGTAAAACTTCAGAAAGGAGACAATGGCAAACCACTGAACTTCACTTGAGAAAGGCTTTGCCTTTAGTCTCAAGGAATTCATCTCTACCATCAAAGAATTTCTGTAAAATGAATGGAATCATTCAGAAAAAACACACAGAAATACTAGGCAAGTTGCACTGAACTCCCAAATGGACTATAAAATAAAAACAAAATAAATCCAAATTCACCCAAGGGTCAAAAGGCTGTAGCTGAGCCAAAAATAAAATTATCTAGGTGTTCACCTAGAAACTAAACCAATTCAATAAATAAATTTGGATCACATAAGTAAGATTCCATTTTGATATTGCCAAAAATCGAATGATCCTAAAACATTGCTGTACATAGGTGAGTAGTTGCAATTCATATAAGCTGCAAATGTTTAGTTAATGTAATTTCTTGCAGCCCTTTTAAAAAAAAATTCAGGTCCCAGTAGAAAGACCAAGTACAGTATGGGAATCCTGGAATATGAAGCATATGATTTGGAAGTATGATAAGGCTTGGATGGAGCTAATGTTAGGATTTCCGGTCGCCAAGATCTGTGCGAGCCTATCACAGACACTTAGCTTGGCAAACTTGCATGCATCAGGGTTTATCTGGCACGCAGGCCCACTTTCCTCTCTGAGAGCGTCAGCAGATGGGATACAAAATGAAAGCAAACGTTCACAATAGGATCATACAGCTAACGCATGACTTGACAAATGAGCTCTCGATCTAATTTCCAACTGGCTTTGCAGCCCACTCAGAAGAAAGAAAGCAGTCACCACTTACGATGATGGATTTTTGTTCCAGGTCTATTCCTCCAGCCACGCTAAAGCCCAGGCCAGAACCTTCCTCTTTATTCAAGACTACAAAGTAAATATCTTCTTTGCTCTGAGCCCCCGCAAAAACGGGGGAGGAGAAGGAAGAGAAGGGAAGGGAGACAAGACAAAATATCCAAAGATTAAAAACCCTTGAAATAACATACCCCACAATTTACACAAAATGCCTGCAAACGGAATCTGGATTTTTTTTTTAAAGAAGAGTCTAAATCTTAAAATAACGTCAATTTCAGAAATTAAAGGGAAGAAGAGATTTGAGTATACTTAATGTCACTAAAAAAAAGTATAAGAACCCAAATAAACTGCCTCTTCCAGAGTTCAGGCCTGGAATTGATTTTCAGTGCCCAGGCACAGACCTCCATCCATCAAGTCAGTAATAAAATGAAAAGTGTCTTCTGCACATGTAGCCAACCTCTAATCTCACCAAGCAGAAAAGAAGAAATGGACCGACAGGCACATGTGGATTACACAAAGCAAAACGTGTGTCCAGCCGTTCAATTTTGAGTTGTCAAGGTACCTCACATTGTGCAACTTTACCCTGTGCACAAAGTCTTGGATTGGATTTGAGGATGGGAACCCATCTCATTACGAACTGAGCTACCTCTAAGCAATTTAAAGCTTAGAGAAATCAAAATATTATTTGATAGGGATTCCTACCTCCATCACCCATTTGTGCTAGGAGATGATCAACAGACAATCTTTTCCAGATTTGTGAAAGGCAAGGTGAATAAATGGTGACTACTAAGGTCTTACTTTTTTTGAGATAGCACCCAATTTATGGGAACCTCTGTCCAGGGAAATTTCACCAATTTCTAACTTCAGGTAAAGACCTAGAGCTTCTCCCAGTCTTATTTTAACTTTAGGTTAATGTTTGATTACTTTTTCATACTATTTTCTGAACGTTTTACTGCTGAATAAAAGGATGGGCTATACTCAAGAGCAGTTTCACCTTTCTGGAAATCATTTCTGCAGGCCCGCAGTATAACTTCTAATGTTTAGCACTTTCAAACCTGTGATACAAAAGAATCCAAAAAGGGGGACAGGAACAATGAAAACATGACTTGACAAGTGACCCCTTTGATTGTTTGTTTTTATTGTTCTTTGTTACTTTAAGTCCAATCTGGAATACTTACGTTCACATGGGGTATAAAAATGAAGTATAAAAATGCTAAAATTCAGGTAGTAGCTTTGACATAGTCCAATATAAACCAACAGCTTCCAATCTTTAGAACACCAGGGACCGGTTGCGTGGAGAGAGGTTTTTTCCACGGACCAGAGGGGGTGTGGTTGCGTGTGCTGCCTGCATCCCGCAGATGGGACTTTTGCTTGTTTGCGCAGCCCAGTTTCTACCATGCCACAGAGTGGTGCCAGTCCCATTGGGGGGTTGGGAACCCCTTGATAGAAAGAATTCTATTACAGAAGCCGTTCAGCCAGACCAGATAGGGCACGGGTGTCAAACTCGCCACGCCACATTGCCATCACATGATGTTTCTCAACATTTTCCCCTTTGTGGAGCTCAGGTGGGCGTGGCCTGTGCGTGATGCATCTGGCCCGCAGGCTGCCACACCCCTGAGATAGGGTTTAACTTGAATCCTAATTGCCAGAGATGTGGCAGAATCTGCTAAATAGGCAAACTTTTGTGGCCCAGAAGCCATACATTTTTCTTTTGTCACTTTTTTTTTCCTTCTGGTTGCTCAAAACTACAGTAAGCAAGGTTGGCATTTTTCAGGTAATTAGCCTTTATTTCGGTGTTTCACTAAAAAAAATATTTTAAAAGTGTGCTAAGATACTTTGATGGCTCATGCAATTACTTTATTTTGTTCCTTGTTCAAAATATTGCTATTTTAACACATATGAACCACTTGGAATCCATGAGGATTGAGATGGTAGACAAATAAATAAGTTGCACAAATAAAACCTGTTGGAAACTTGTTGCTTGTTGGTAAATTTCAATGGTATCACACAGAATTTTGAGGGAGCAAAAAAAAAAAATGATGCCAGCAAACCCTGAATGGATAATTGGTCAGTTCCACATTTGGACTTATTCCTTAAAAACAAAAACAAAAACAAAATATTGCGGTCTTTCTGTTATCTGTATGTACATATTTTGACAGATTCCAAACAAAATGTTCCATTTTTAATTTCTTTAAAAGCAGAGAATGAGCCAAACATGAAACCAAGATGACAAACCTGGCTCAAGATTCCCGAGATGAAAGACAAGAGGATGAAAAATTAGAAAAGTTCTGAGAATTGTCTTGGTCTGTACTCAAAGGACAAGTTCTGAATTGCATAATATTTTCCAGCTCCCGTGCCACTTTGGACTTAATAGCAGATGTGAGGAAAGATGCAGACACTGCCCAGTTTCCAAAAAGCATTGAGTTTCATAAATATTTCAGTTCTTGGACTTTTGCAAACTGGCATGAATAAACAATTTCCCCCGAGACCCATGTGAAAATACTTAAAACGACTCTGGATTATTCTTGACTGAGAACATAATCCAGTCTTGGTATTTTGGCACAATATGCCAAGCCTACCTGACTCAATTAAACTTGCTTTAAACAGGTACTGGAATAAAACCAAGGGACTGTGGGAAGTCTCCTACTCAAAGAATTACTCATATTTGAACCCTCAAGTTTGGTCTGCAGAAAACTCATCAAACAGCTTGAGCATTTGCTCTTCTATGAAGAGAGACTGAAGAAGCTGGACATGGTTAGCTGTGGGGTGGGGGGAGCCTGTGGAGAAATAATATTTCAGGAAAAAAAACTTTTAAAAATATCACACAAAGTTCAAAGCCTACTGCCTCTTATTCCAGGGAGCAGAAAGAGTAATGGACTAATGTTACAAAAAGACAGACGGTGACTGAAGGTCAGAGAAAACCTTCTGAAAAGTTAAGAGCAGTTTGATAGGAAAACCAGCTACGTAAAGAGTGGTGAGCTCTCTTTTGTCGAATATCATCAAATGAAGACGTCCAACTGATTCTTGCTTTCAGCAAGGGATTGTGGTTTTTTTTAAATTTATTTATTTTTATTATAAAAATTTCATTTGGGTTTTCACAAAACATAATACAAGTAAAATTTCTTTTTTTAAAAAAATAGCATGGTCCCGGGTTATCACTTCTCCATACAGACACAAATTCAATTTCATATTCATCTTTGTGTTCTATTCCATATCTTATTACAATTTTTACATTTTCTCAATAATTTTTCCCTTCCCTTGGTTTTCTCAATCTTACTTTTAATTATCTCATTCCTTTCTAAATTCAATTATATATATATCTTTTTCTAAGTTTCAATACCTTTCTAGTCATCATATTTATACTTTTGTCTGTCCTCATTCAATTTCATATTTCTTTTCTCATTAAACAAAATTTTTCCCTGTAGTTACTAATTGGAGTATGATACCTTTGTATCTTTTAAATTTTATCCATTCAACTCTTATTTAAACTTCAATTTATGCCTTTACAATTATAACATTCAATATAACACATAGCTTCCAGTCAAATTCTGCTTGGTACATTCTTAAAATTTGCACTAAGTTCTTAAAGAGAAAATATATATATAATAATAATAAATAAAATACTTATTCTATTCCAATTCAGCTCTATCATTAATGTTAGTTATAATCTTTGACATCTTTAACATTTCTTTTCAATAGGATATCACACTTCTAGGAACACTTATAATATTTCCATAATTTTTTCATGTTTCTTTCATATTCCTCTTCACTTAAATTTTTATAACACATTTATAATTGTTTTTGATGGCCAAATTGCAACCTCTGAATTCTCAGATTCAATGAATTTGCACAGAGACACCAGCTCAGTGGGTGTTAAGCCCAGAATTGGCAGACGGTAGTTTGGTTGTTTCCATAATCCATATTTTTTTGTATTTCCTTTTTCCTTTCTCCCTTTGCAGAATTCCCCCCACCCCCCTGAAGAGAGGAAAGATTACTTAAACAAGCTATCTTTTCCCGAACCTGCTTGCTGGTTAACAACCTCAGCTCTGTGACTTGAATTAGTTAATTAGCACTCTCAGCTGGCTTGCACTCCTGCCTGAAACTGTCAAGACCCTAATCAGTTTCACCCTAAAGCACAGGTGTCAAACTTGAGGCGTCACTTTGCTGTCACATGACGTGTCGCAAAGTTTTTTCCCTTCGCGGAGCTGGGGTGGGCATGGCCTGTGCGTGACGCATCTGGCCAGTTTGACACCCCTGCTAAAGGCTTTCTTTTGCCTAAGCCAGAGGTGGGGAATTATGGCTGCTTTATGACTTTCCCAGAATTCCTGAACCATCATGGCTGGCTCAGGAATCCTGCGAGCTGAAGTCCACAAGTCATAAAAGGGCCATAGTTCTCCACCCCTGGCCTAAGCCCTAAGTGGTTCCCAGCTCCAGCACCATAAGCAAACAGCCTGGGCTAAGGTATTCTATATGTATTTCCCATTGTGTATCTGCTTACTTGTTTTATAATCACTTCCTGTCCAATGAGCGTTAATACACAGGGGTAGGATTCTACCAGTTCGCACTTATTTGCTAGAACTGGTTGTTAACATTCTAAGCAGTTCAGAGAACCGGTTGTTAGAAGAAATTACTGGCCTAATCCTGTAAGGAAGGCAGGAAGGAAACATTCTGGTGTTGCTTACAGAAACTGCCTCTCCGTTAACCCTTATTACGTTCTTGGCAGGACTAGACCTCCCGTCTCAGGAACGTCTCTGGAGTTTTCCCCCCCTCCTTTGCTGATACTTTGCTTGTGCGGAGTGACCATTCAAAGGTACAATGGCACTGAAAAAAGTGACTTATGATCATTTTTCACACTTACGACTGTTGCAGCATTCCCACAGTCATGAGAGGCCAGGAGAGGAGATACGTGCCTCGATGTGAGTGATATTGAGTTGGCCACATCCAGCCAATAACATGACCACCAAGCCATGCCTACACCTAAGCCACGCCCACAGAACCGGTTGTTAAAAAATTTGAATCCCACCCCTGTTAATACAGATATTAATTGCCCCTTGTTAGTGATCTCAGAGCCAAGGTGAGGACTCCAAACTGGGGGGAGGGGGGAGAGTAGAGGAAAAAGAGCCATAAGATTTACCCCTTTTTCCTACCTTAATTGTGAGTTGTGTTTCAGAACCTTTTCCCCCTACTTCAGCTCATAACCTTCTGATGCTGTAAATTTGTTTAAGGGCGATTTCTTAATAAACCCTTTTCAAGATTTACTACCTTCCTTTACTTTACTTTACTTTATTGTCATTGTACCTTGTACAACGAAATCAAATACCATATTCAGTGTACAATTTATGCCTATGAAAATAAACACAAACACACATCCCTCACACTCCACACGTTGAATTGAAAACCCCTGACATCGCATTAATATTGCACTATACAATAGAATTCAAAAGAGCTACTGCCCTGGGATAGAAGCTGTTTTTCAGCCTATTTGTCCTTGTTTTTATTATCCTGTACCGTCTGCCAGAGGGTAATAGTTCGAAAAAAGGGTGCCCAGGATGAGATGGATGTTTAATAATGTTTTGAACTTTCTTAGGGCAGCGGGAGCTATAAAGCTCTTCCAAAGAGGGGAGAGGGCAACCAATGATCCTCTAGGCCAAGGGTGTCCAACCTTGGCAACTTTAAGACTTGTGGACTTCAACTCCCAGAATTCCTCAGCCAGCTTTGCTGGCTGAGGAATTCTGGGAGTTGAAGTCTACAAGTCTTAAAGTTGCCAAGGTTGGACACCCCTGCTCTAGGCAATGACGTTAACCCTCTGGAGTGCTGTCCTATCTGCCACTGTGCAATTGGCAAACCATACAGAGGTGCAGTAAATGAAGATACTCTCTATGGTGCGGCGGTAGAAGGTCACCAGCAGTTTTTCATTCAGTGGTTGTGTTTCCTGAGAAGTCTCAGGTAGTATAATCTCTGCTGAGCCCTTTTGACCTTTTGGCCCTTTCCTGGCGTCATTCTTTTGTATCCCTCTTGTAAATAGAATAGAATATAATTCTTTATTGGCCAAGTGTGATTAGACACACAAAGAATTTACCTCCAGTGCATAAGCTCTCACAGTGTATGTGCAAAATCACAAAGTACAGGTCGTCCTTGACTTACAACAGTTCAATGTAGTGACTGTCTGAAATTTTACACATGTTTTCTCCCAGATTAACAGATTATCAGAGTTGGAAGGGACCTTGTAGATCAAATTACAACGGCACTGAAAAAAGTGACTTATGACCATTTTTCACACTTAAGACTGCTCCAGCATCCCAATGGTCACATGATCAAAATTCAGACACTTAACGACCGACTCATATTTGTGAAAGCTGCAGTGTCTCATATTCATGTGATCAACTTTCTCACAAGCCAAGTCAATGGGGAAGCCAGATGCCCTTAACAATCATGTTACTAACTTAACATCTGCAGTGATTCACTTAACAACTATGGTAGGAAAGGCTGTAAAATGAGGCAAAGGTCAGTTAGCAAATATCTCACTTAGCAACAGGGGCTCAATTGTAGTCGTAAGTCAAGGACTACCTGTAATAATAATCAAAATCATCATCTTCTTTTAAAGACCCTGTAATCCCTTGAAAGGTGGAGTCTTGGCAACTGAGTGGACCTGAGTGTTTACTGGCTGGATGCCCTTCCTGTCACCAATGCGGAGATTGTTTCAGCAGATATATTCTCATTATGCCCAGGCAGAGAAATATCTGCCTCTACCTAGGATCAAACTCACAGCCTCCTGATTGTGAGGCGAGAGCTCACAATCTAGGAGGCCTCTAGGTTATTGCATCACTCCTAATAATAATCAAAATTAGCAAAAGATAATAATCATAATAATGATGCCAACAAAGAAGGTAATGAAACTATTGCAAACATACACATATATTTATAAGCATTTAAAGTTAGATGGGTGACATCATTCCACACCAATGGTTTTTTTGCAAGTCTCATTTGGAAATTAGAATCAATTGATTTCTGACTTTATTCTGGTTTGTTGAAAACCCCAGTGAAGTTTCTCCCCATCCCCTCAGGATAATTGCAGCTCTGCAACCCTCCTGAACAGCTTCATCCTCTCCTTGGTGGCAATTTCTTCTTCACTCACTTCCAGATTTCTGGCCTCAAAACTTCACAGGGCCATCCCACCTCACTTACCACACAGTAATTCTGTGGCTTGTTCCTAAAGCTGGTCTCTTTCTGTATAAATGGTTTCAGATTCGTCTTCTCCCAATCCACTCATCATAGCAACATTTAAAGACGATCCTTGCTGCTAGTTTCAGAACTGTTTTCATTTCACCTTCACAGCTCACAAGGGGATTTCAAGGCAATAATAGGATTGTAGAAAAAGGACCGCAAAGCCTCTGGGAGATATCAGTACTTTTGTTGGTATATTTTTTTACAAACACAGCTTCCCAAACATAGCAACCCTTCTGAATTTTTCCCCCAGTTATAAAACACAGAGAAATATATCTACTGAAAACACAGGTGCGAGGAAGAGAATTTTATTTTAGCTTTGTGTCAATGGAAGAAGGTCCTTCTGTTGCTATACAATGGATGGGGCTAGCCACTGATTGAATTACAGACTTGTCTTGGTGAGGTGAAAGGAAAGTTGAGGAACGTATAATTGATTCATTGTGTTCTTTACACCTTCCCTGTGTTGTGAGGCTAAAGAGAACTTAAGGTGTTCTCATACTACTTTCCAACAGCTTTGCAAGGGATTGGAGTGGTCTATACACACTCACACCCACAGAGTAGTGTGGTGGCCTAGAGGTGGAGCTCTCGCCTCACAATCAGGAGGCTGTGAGTTCAATCCTAGGTAGAGGCAGATATTTCTCTCTCTGGGCACACTGAGAATATATCTGCTGAACAAAACCCTGCATTGGTGACAGGAAGGGCATCCGGCCAGTAAATACTCAGCTCCATTCAGTTGCCCAGAGTCCACCCTGCAAGGGATTCTGGGCTCATTAAAAGATGATGATACACACTCACACACCCACACATATATACCCATGTGCGTAGCTGTATATCTAAAGCTTACCTCTGCTTGTGCTTGGATTTCCTGAAGTAAAGAAGAAACATCACTTTTCGTTGTCACCAAAGACAAAACAGACTGCAATTTCTGCTGATCCAGAGAAGAAATCAATAATTCATCCAAGCTAAAATATAAAATATACAAAACGACATTGGATGAGGCTGAAGAAAGAAGATACCTTGTTTAGTAATTAACAGATAATAGAGCTGTGATGGCGCAGTGGTTAGAATGCAGTACAGTAGGCTATTTCTGCTGGCTGCCTGCAGTTCGGCAGTTCAAGTCTCACCGGCTCAAGGTTGACTCAGTCTTCCATCCTTCCGAGGTGGGTAAAATGAGGACCCAGATTGTTGGGGGCCTATTGCTGACTCTGCAAACCACTTAGAGAGGGCTGTAAAGGGCTGTGAAGGGTATATAAGTCTAAGTGCTATTGCTATAATATCTCATATGGCTATTTCTAAATATGGAAAAGACCAGGAAGTATAATTGGAATACCCAACAAAATCTGGTTTCATAGAGAAAAAGCCACCTAAATTCTATTTGCAGATATTAAGACTTTGATTCCCTTCATGGTGATATATATATATATATATTTTCAAAGAGAAGGGGAAACAAAGAACCCATAAAAAGTGTTTTAGCACAAAAAGTGAAAGAAACACAACAATGATAAAAGAAAAGATAGGTCATTATAACAATAAACAGTTATGATGATACATTTCTAATGCAAATATTATTCAAGCATGTATATATTTCTAGTGTATTAAACAATTGTCTTTTAATGTTTTCTTTTTCTTCTCTTTGGCAATGCTTTTTTCACCATCGCTATTATTTTTGAAGTTTGCTTTGTTTTTCTTATTAATTAAAAAGCAATAAATTTTTTTAAAAGACTTTGCTTCCCTTTATCTAGGTCTGGAAATGATTCTCCTTTTTTGCCTCTGCTAATTCTAAGACTGTGATTAAGAACAAAAGACAATCCTTTGAGGAATTAGATAGAAAACTGAATCCATGGTTCCTTTTCTTTCCCTTCTATTTCTGTTCCAGGCATCTAAAGGAATGATGGTGAAAATATGGTTTTGAACCTTACAAAGTTTGAATTAACAGACTATTAAAATTTTGGAGTCACAAACGGGAGTAAGGCCCATGGTGGAATCTGTTGCAATTTAATTTACAGGAAAGGAGACTGGGAAATCAAGGAAAGGAAAAGAGAAAACTGATAAGAGAAACAAAAAGAAAAGTACAGACGTGGTAAAGATGTTTTTGGAAAGGAAAAAGTACAGGTAGTCCTTGACATGATCATTGGGATCAGAAGTTCTGTTGTTAAGCAAGCCATGCCTGATTTTATGAACTTTTAGGCAAGTTATTAAGCAAACCACTGCATCATGTGGTTGTTAAACAAGTCTAGCTTCCCCTCATTGTCTTTGTCAGAAGCCAGCTGGGAAGGTCACAATGAGAGATCATGTGATCCTGGGACTCTGCACAAATCGCAAACACATGCCTGTTGCCAAGCATCCTAATTTTGGTCATGCAACCATAGCTATGCTGCAACGGTCCATACAAACGTATGGACCAGTCGTAAATCTCTTTTTCCAGTGCCGTGTAACTTTGAGTGGTTGCTAAATGAATGGTTATAAGTCAAGGACTACCTGAGCTGGATGTCAATCGGGAGGGACTATGGCAACTCATTCTGCAAGAGCGGCAGAAAAAAGTATAATTGGGTACTGTGTGGAGAATATGGCTTCAAATAACCTTTACTTGTAGTTTCTTTAAGTATCTAAGTCTGTAATTCTTAGAACTCTGAAATGCCCGAGCACTCCTGGTAAAATATCAGGAGCTGACAATTTGTTGAGTCAGACCTTGGGGAGCTGGGGTGAGCATTCAATGCTTTGATCAAGTCCTTTCACAGAGCTTTGACATTAAGAATGAAACTATACACATGAAAGGAAAACATACAACTTGCCAACTATTGCAATATCCCGTTTTTCTTGGTGCAAAACTCAAAGAGGTTGGGTTGAGAATTTGTGTATCTTAATGCAAAGTACACAAACCAGGGCAAATCTTTTCGATTCTTTCCTCCGCCCATGAAATATTTGCTTTCCAGTTTTAAACCTTTGCCTTCTCCTGGTACAGAGCTAATATTAAGAAAACGTTAAAACTAACCTGATAGACCAGCTCTTCCCTGAGTTCACTTTATTCAGACCGCCATCGTGCTGTAGCCCTTCCTCATCAGAGGTTGATCCAGGAGTTCCAGAGCCACTATTCCAAGGACCGGTTTCTTTGGAAGGTTGCCTGCTTGTCATCCCAGGACTGGATAATCCCGAGCATTCATTCAGCTTGGGAACCTTTTCAACGGGAGCATCGAAGGATCTCACAACAGAGGGAAGATGCAGCTCGGTTTTGAGGGGTGAAGGTTGAGACTCCATAGAGAAGTCCTCACTGCAGAGCTTATCAAGATCTGGCATGCTCAGAGCTCTCAGCTCCCGGAGTTTGGAGCGAGACAAAGGCATGTGTCTAATATGCCCACCTGAGGCTCTGCTTCTTCGGACATTGGTGGTAGATGGTGGTAAACTAACCGGTTCTTCAAAAGCGTGCCTTTCACTCTTCTCCAAGTGACCATCGTCTTTGCTGCTCTTGGGGAAATTCTGTTGCACATTTGTTAATGTCGAGCTGGTTGAAGATCTGGTGACCCTTGGAGATGTTGGGGCTTCACCTCCACAGTACGAACTCAAGCTCCGTCGCAGGGTGTGGACCGCATCATTCACGCTGGTAGCTGAAACTGCTGAAATGCCACTGGACAATCTTCGGCCAATGGGCAGTTTAGAGTTCAGGGTGGTGGAATGGAGGTCTATGGCTTTGACCATAGGCCTGTCGAAATTAGCCAGATTCTCAAACGATTTGATCCTCTGCTTGACAGAAAAAGAAGAAACGGGATCATGTGGCCAATTGAGTTCGTAGTAGTAATAGTTCCTCCTGCCCTTCTTCAGTTTTTGGGCAACGGGGCTGCCATTGTCACTGTTGGGTTTCAGGGTGCCAGCAGATGTGGCTTTGGCATCCTGATTGCTCAGACTGAGGTGGACAACTTTCAACATGCCCAACTCTGCACCGGAAGGGTTTGCGCTCGAAACATTACCCAAGGTATCCTGGATAAGATGGCCTGGTTGATCCCTATCGTTGCTGTTTTCCCTTAAGTGATTGGATAATCGTGCTGGCACCGAATAGGTCCTTGTCACGGGTTTTAATGCACTGAGAGCATCTTCCTTGTGGAAAGCGCTCTCCCAACAATCCAGTGCCTTGCTTCTGAGTTGGTTGGTCTTATTGTCATCCTCTTTCTTCTCTAGGGGCAAGTCAGGAATGAAGGAGGAGGAAGATAACCTGACTTCAATGAAAGTGCGCTGGATTTCCTGGCTGGGCTGCTCTTGCCAAGCAGGGGGATGAATAAGGCCGGAGGACTCCTTTTTAAAAAGCCCTGCATGGTCAGATTTTAATGGCTTCATTTCTAATCCATCATGATTCAAACTTATCCCCTTGTTTTCGGTTCTGTCATTCGGACAACAAGCTTTGGCTACGGCTTCAGAAGGCGCATTTGACTGAGCAGGGCCATCTCTTGTTGGGCAATGATCTGTGCTGGCCTCCCCCCCCTTTTCACTGCTCGCCACTTCCCACTTGGCAACCTGTGCTTCTTTTTCCATTTTAGGAGATCCTGACATTCCAGCCCTGCCAAATTTTGGTTTGATGGTGGATTTATTTTTATTTTTCGTAACGCTGCTCTCGCCGTTCAGCGCGGGCAGAGTGGAGGCCTGGGGCTCCAGCAAAGAAGGTTGAACTTCCTCCTGCTGCTGAAATATCTTAGAACCCATAGAGAGGCTCCTGCTGGGTGGTTCCAGGTGTGTGGCTAAGTTATGGAGTGAGGAACCTTTCTTGGAAAGGAGCCTGGGTGAACCTTGAGCAGGGAGGGTTATCTTCTTTTGATCAGTGCCCTCAGCTTTAGCAGGAGCAGGGCCAAGAGCATCAGAATGAGCCCTGGGCTTATTTTTAATATTGAGAGCCTTTCCTTTAGGCCCTGCTTTATTTTGGTGGTTATTTGAAAGAGTTTCTACCATACTCTTTGGTGGAGCACCTTTAGTTTCGTGATGTAATTTAGGGGAAGAAGAGGGGCTGTATGTAATACCAAAGCTCTTGCATTGACCAGAATTCAGGGTTTTGGTATTTGAGGGTTTCAAGATAACAGTGTTTGCTTTTTCATTTTTTCCTAGTAAATTGTGAGCAGAAGAGACCTTTCCCAAATGTTTTGGTTTGGGCAAAAGGGGAGATTTAGGACTGTTTACTATTTTTTGTATTGCACTCTTCATAGTATAACTGTCCGTTCTTCTTAACTGGAATGAACCACTGGTTCCTTTCCCCATCACAGCAGAAGAACTACCAATTACATTACTTCCACAGTCCACCATTAAATCATTTTCTACCTGCAACTCTTGGGTTTTCCCCGGTTCATCTTGGCCTAGTTTGTTGCCATCCCAGCGGTTGATATTTTCTGTCAGACAGCAGTGTATATCTGGCGCAGAATCTTTACATATTTCCATCAGATTTCCTTGGTTCTGTAGACCATTTCCTCCTTCACTCCTTGAACAAACATTCTCAAGGGAAGAGCAGACTGGCCTGTCTTGAGCCAAACTGTCTACTGCTTGTGAAGAAACATCTGGAGAAGATTGAAAAGCTGTTGACGGAAGCATATGTTCTGCACTGGAGTTTTTCAATACGTGCGATTTTTCTAATGTAAATTTTCCTTTGGATATTTCCGATGAATCTATTTCTGTTTTGCTTTCTGCCTGCAAACAGTTGTTCAAAGAATGGTAAATTGGTGGACGATGAGATGATTTTATGGGAGATGTGTCCAGCTGTTTTTGAATACAATGTTGGTCATAATTCAGACTGCAAATCTCTATTTGCTCCTCATCTGATTCAACTAGTTTATGGGTTGCCAAGGGATTATCACAAATAGATAGTAAGAGTGATGAAGTGTCTCCAGGATTCTCGGCTAAGGATTCTGTGTCTGAACTAGAATCTTCTGCAGCAGCATACATAGATTTTGGAATAGTGTTGCTTTTAGTTTCAATTTCAGGCAAATGATCATCACTAAGGCTGCTAAAATTCCTTGAATAGGTACTGAGACAGCTTTGGTTTACAGTTAAAATTTCCCTCGCGTTAATAGAATCCAGGACAGAAAAACCCAAGGTCTCTTGTGTATTAGTAACAGAACTCGCAGCTCTTTCTATAAGATCATGTTTAATTATATGTGATACAGAATTCAGCTGAGCTTCTTCTGCCATCCCAAAACTATTTTCCCTGGTGTGCCTGTCCTTGATTAATAAACAGTCACCATCTTTTTCTTCTGGGGAATTCCTTTTGCCAGAGAAGTCATCAATCTCTTCTAATAGCACCATAGAAGTGTCTTGAATAGAGTGAATGTCTGAGGGATCTGCTAGCATCACCTTAGTGTTATCATTGGACACGAATCCTGTCTTTTCTGCCATACAATCCAGAGGAGATTCCAAAGATTCTTTCTTACACGCAGAGCTGTTTTCTTTGATCATAACAATGTTGCTTGATTCTTTCTGAACTGCCTCATCTGCCTCTGAAGACACAAAGAGATTTGCAAAGTTGTTAAAAGGCTACATAAAGAGTCAAGGAAATAATTCCATCCTCTCAATTACACAATTATTAAAACTTTACACTAGCTTTTAATTTTAGAGGTTCAGCTGGATTCAGCAATGATTAAGATGTTGGAAAGTGAAGTTTTATTAACGATCTACTTATCACTATCTTTCCAGATACAATTCAGCATGCTGATTAAGACCTTTAAGCGTTCATTTTCTGGTCTTAATATGGGTAGCCTTGACTTACAACCATTCGTTTAGGTGTTCAAAGTTACAATGATACTAAAAAAAAAGTGACTTACATCATATTTCTGATGTTGCAGCACCCCCACCGTCATACGATAAAAACTTGGGCGCTTGACCACTAACATTTATTCAGTTGCACCACCCTGGGGTCCCGAGATTGCCACTTGTCATCTTCCCAGCTAGCTTCTGACAAGTGAGGTCAATGGGGGAAATTTGATTTGCTTAATGATTGTGTGATTCACTTAACAACCATCTTACATAGCAACGTAAATTCTCATCCAAATGTGGTCATAAGTTAAACCTAAGTTTAAGCATGGTTATGAATACATGAAATGGATACGAATAAAAAGAAACAATAGGATAAGGACGGTAGGCATATTGGTGCGCTTATGCACGCCCCCTACAGACCTCTTAGGAAAGGGGTGAGGAGTTGAGGGCTACCTGAATATTCAACCAGTAAGACAGGTAAGAGAGATTTCACTATGAACCCTTCCTCTCCTGAAGCATCTTAAAATCCATACACAAACCATTTCAGAAACTATTCCCTACTACTTTTTCAACTGAAACTCTTTAGCTCAAATTTTCTCAGTTGGGGGCAACAAAAAAGTGCTTTTATTTTCATGGTTTTTCATGGATTTTAACATTTGGTAGATTTCAATTTTTCAGTAAATATTTTCTTTGTATATATTGAATCCTCCTCTTGGAGGATTTCAGTTATTTGTAAGGAAAAAAGCAGGATGCCCATGCTTCAAATATAATAAAGTCTGCCAGAATTTAAGGATATTAATTAGGCTAGCAGTGAGAATATATTTTGGTTGCAAAAGGAAGTGCTACTTCCATCCAAAACTGCCTTTTGATTATGGAGGCTACAAACTCAACTGTCCCGAACTCTGCATTGCTAGGTGGCTATAATTTATGCTGAGTCTGCCTAATAAGCTTAACTGGTATCCTCAAGTCATTTGGTTGTTTTAAGTGAGACAGATCTTGGCCACAACAGCATGAATGACAGTAAAATATGGAATGCTTTGGTTCCTGTCCAGACATGTGATTTCTCAAAAAAAAAAATGTCTTGAATTAGTTCAGTGATACCTATATACATCTGCCCATTGACCATAGAAGAGAAAAGGAAGACAAAATCTTACGCAAAACGGCTTTCTGGATGTCCAGGGTAATGGAAGTGGGAAGACTTCTTACATATTGACAAGCTTCTTCATAAGAGAATCCATAGATGGGGATAGCATTGATAGAAAGGATCTCATCTCTTGGAACCAGCCTTCCCATGGATGCCTGTTAAGAATGCATTTATTAACAGAATACTGTCATGGTCTCACAATTTTAGGATGCGGAATAACATGAAGCTCAATTGCTTCACCAGGAAAGGGGAATGGATTCTATATTCAGGGTCCTTCTGGCAAGAGCCCAGAGACCTTTTGTCATCCTCTGAACCAGAGAAACCACCAACTCCTTAACCTGGCAAAAGTCTAAGAGGGTAAAATCAAGTTGAGGTAATCACCCCTCCAATGTATGGAGATTCTCAGTCATCCAGGTCATGGTTGTCCCAAAGGTGCTTTTTCAAGCGGTTAAGTGGACTTTCTCGGTTTTTTTTTCTTTTAAGACATTTCACTTCTCATCCAAGAAGCTTCTTTAGCTCTGACTGAAGAAGCTTCCCCACCATCCATTTAGAGCTGAAGAAGCTTCTTAGATGAGAAGTGAAACGTCTTCAAAGAGGAAAAAAACCAGGAAGTCCACTTGCCTCTTGAAAAAGCACCTTTGGGGCACCCCTCCAATTCTTTGCAAAATTGATTGTCTTGTAAAAGTCTTCAATTGGTTGCTGTCTCTTAGGAAGAGATTTAGCCATCAGGAGTCACTCTTTACAAGCCTGTTTCTGCCTTTCTACAAGCCAACCTTGTTCACCACACCTGACTTACCTATCTTATCTACCTAGAGTACTAAGCTAAATTGACTGGATTTCAATCAGTTATAATGGGGCAGGCTTCCCCTACATTATGTGCCTCGGGGGACACAATACATAGGACAGAATCACTGCAATGTTCATAAAGTTGTAGAAATATTGTTAACAGGGAAATGTGCAAATGGTAATATACCTTGGGCGGCTGAGATACTACCTGGGGAGGCAGAATACATGTAGACCATTCTCTGCAACGTTTTGTCAGGTCTTCTCAAACATTCACTAAGGTCTCACCTTTTACCCATGGAGTAAAACTCATTCTTGTAATGCAAACGAGTGAGTTGCCTTTACACCCAAACATTGTTCACCTAGTGAGAAGGAAGGACTCACTGGAGAAGAGCCTAATGCTGGGAAAGATTGAGGGCAACAGAAGAAGGGGACGACAGAGAATGAGGTGGCTGGATGGAGTCTCTGAAGCAGTAGGCGTGAGCTTAAATGGACTCCAGAAGATGGTAGAGGACAGAAAGGCCTAGAGGAACGTTGTCCATGGGGTCGCGACAGGTCAAACATGACTTTGTGACTAACAACAACAACAATCGTTGTTGGATTTTATGCAGTGTAATATTTAAGCACTGTATTGTATTATAATCCAAATACTGTATATATACTGTAATATAATCCAAATAATAGTAACTGCCTTGTTGAATCAGATTACAGCCGAAGGAGCTCAGATAAACAAATGGGATTTTCCTATTTGTTCCCATTGCAGAAATTCCTTTCTAAAGCCATCACAGATCTTCTATGCTGTCACTAACAGAAATATTTTGACTTAACAAATCAGCTTCCCAAAAGATGCTCATTTTGAAATAATCTGAAAATCCCTGAATGGCAGTATAGTTGTTCTTTCTTGTCAACAAGCTGCATACAGTACCTTTTAAAACGTAATGCCTTCTGTTTCTAAATGAGTTAAGTTTTTTATAAAGTGAGCAGTATTTACTAATGAAGTGAACAATAGTGTGGTCTCCTTGCCCTGAGAATTTTAAGATGGTAGGGCGGGGAAGCAGGGCTCAATCAATTCATTGACTGCCTATTTGACTAGGGTTCTAGTAAGACATGAGGCAAGACTCACAACATTCACATTTCTCCTGAGGTTACTATGTCCATTTCTTGCATGATCTCAACTTCCCCCGGAACTGAAATTCTATGAGGGATAATAAAGACATTTTTTTTTTTTTACCCTTTCAGCTGCTCCACCTGGTTGCAAGCCTGTTATGACGATGCGCAAAGGGTTGGCATGGATTTCGAGATCCAGGCCAAATGACTCATTTTCATTCCGGGATAAAGTAATGGATTCCACATGGCTCAGCTCAAGGGGAACCGTCTCCTGAGCTTCATTCCTCTGGATGGATGGAAGGACCTTCCCACTAGTTCTGGGGCAGGCCCCGTGCTCCTTGTTCTTGGGCCTTGGGACTCCGTGGTATTCAATACTCATCAGGCTTTTCACTCGGGTGATGGCTTTATGTTCCAATTTGGGAGACCTCTTCGTTTCTAGCGGTTCGTCCTGAAAGTCCTTCACGTTCAAGTAGCCCGGATGAAGCTCTGGAAGATGAGGAAGCTCTTTAGTTGGGAGAAAAGGGGTATCCCCTGTATGCTCCCCAACGGTCTCTGCCAGATTCCTAGCAGCTAAGTTACTGCAGATATTTGCCGCAGATTCTCTCTCCTGGCTGGTATCTCCATTTTGCACCGAAGGAGCTGCAGTGGAAATATTACAGTCATTGTCTCCTTTCCTTTGACCTTTCGACCTCGACCCTCTTTGGAAGGAGTCTCCATCTTGTTTGGCAAAGTCATCCTCATCACTCACGTCTCCATCATAAAAAGCAATCCTTCTCTGCCGTTGGAAAGCAGACTGGGGCCCTTTGGGGCTGTCACTGAAACTAACGTGCCGAGCAGCTGTCTCCCTTGGCTTGCTGAGAGGACCCGGCGAGCTATTGCCAGTAGCTGGGGAACTGCACAGACTCAATTCTTTGGTAGCTAAGAATAAACACATGGTATATAATTTGGCAATATTATCTTAGAACGTAATGACCTAATCTATCACTATTTTCCATATTC